TTTTTTTTTTTTTTTTTTTTTTTTTTTTTTTTTTTTTTTTTTTTTTTTTTTTTTTTTTTTTTTTTTTTTTTTTTTGCATTTTTTGCGTCAACGTGTGAGACATAGTGTACTCGTTGTGCTTCAGGGAAGGTGACGTCTTTCTTCTTATAATTCAATGCAATTGAAGCTACGTGGAAATTGCCAAGAATTTCGGTCCATTTTACAACATTAGCCTTGCCGCTTCCATTTTTATATATTAATTAATCAATTTCATACAGCCTTTTCTTTGAAGCATAGAATTAGTTTGATGACTAAAAGTGACATTTGAAACGAAGGGTATTTTAGTCAATTAAGAAGAACTACGAAGTTTATATATAGTTTGATTAAGTTGAAGGGTTTGATTGTGAAAGTTAATGCAGTTTGTATTCACATGTGTATTTTTATAATATTTATAGGTTTAATGTAAGAGCTTCTGCAAATCTAATTAAAAGTGTCTGTGGCAGATTGAATTATCTATGTGGCCGAGAGTCCTCACAGTCCTAGTACAACAACGCAATTATCAAGGGCAGATCATCGTGCGGACCTCCCACTAGGACCTGCTATGTCAAAAGCAAGAGAAACTCCATCCCTTTCTTTCTTTTTTTGTGCCTCCTGTTGCCACTTGGGAAGGACATGGGGACGTAAAAAAGGGATCCTATTAATTTGTTCTGACCTAGGATAATAAGTTCATGAGCTTAGTCTTACTCCACCGTTGAGAAACGAAAGAAGACTTTTTTCTCCATATTGAAACAGAACTCTTTTTTAGATTTATCTAAGAAGAGGGAAGAGGAGTCACAAGCGTCTTCTCCAGAATTGTGCTGCGCAAGTTAGGTCCAGACGGCTACAAGTGGCCATCATTCCGCGCCAACCCTTACCCCTTTCGCCACCCTTTTTTTGCAGATTCAATTCAGGTAAGCATTTTTAGTACGATACTAATGGAGATGCCACGTGGCCAGCAAAAGTCTCAAATCTCAGTAATAGCCCTTAGTTTAAAGGCAACTTTGGGGTCTCCACACTGGGCCTGCTTCAATTGGGCTCAATTAAACCATAAAAAAGTGGGTACAATAAATAAAAATTATAGGAATTTTAGGAGTTTCATTGGTGAAAAAAACATAATAATCAAGGGGTACATGAGGCTTCACGATTACATGTAATGAGATTAGACGTTTCTATCATGAGACCCACTAAATTCCATGAAGTGTTGTAACGAGACTGCCACTCTGGTGGAATAGGGTCATCTTCAAAATCATCGAAACACACGCCTATATAGTTAGCAACACTCATTGTCGGTAATTCATACACGTTTGTACCTGGTTAGGTCAATAATATATGCATTGACTCTTGCAAATCAGTGTATCCCATTCCAAAAGATTATGAACATTTCTCATACATCAATTTTGTTTCAAGCATCTAACTTTTCTGACTTTATCTATCTTTCAAGGAAAACAAGGTTGTCATTGAAATTGGTGATAGTATGATTCACGAATATAATTAGAAAACCTGTTAAATTTGACTTCAAATCTTCACGAGGATCTGAATCAATCACAGAATAGCAAAGCTTATACAATTCATCGTATTGAAATATGTTGCTAATTCTAGACGATCATAGAGGGGTTGAAAATAGATAGCAAAAGAAGAGTAAAAACACCCAGAAGAGGGAGGGAAGAAGACATGTTCATCATCTTTAACAATAATCATATTTAGAAATGGTAGAAATTTATAACCAATGAATTCCTAAACTTTATTTGGAAATTAGTTAAAGGTACAGGATTCCTTCCATATATCAATTCATAACGGAAATTTTAATAAATTAAAAAATTGTCGGTTATTATTTTACATATATCAATGGTAGCCATAAATATTTTCTTTAATTAAATAATATTTTTGTAATATTGAATACAAAAATCATTGTATATATTTTAAATGCATGTTACATCCAAATCATAATTAATTATTTGAGGAAAGAAAGAAAAAGAAAAAAAAAACATGTCTTACATAAAAATATAATAAATTTGATTTTTAAACAATTTTTGTGGTTTACGGCCAAAACAATGAACTAATACCAATTTATTTATGATATGGTTGGTTTGGTTAAATTGTGTAGTGACAGTAAACATTATTTTTACTGGTTTAGATCAATTAAGAGTGTTGTATTGATAAAAACATACCCAACCAAGCCAATTTCATTAAGCTTCAAGTCCAGTTCTAAAGGGTACATGTGTTTCGGGCAACCAATCTGACCCGTTGATAAAGTTTTCTACGGTAAAGTTTTTCGCTATCTGTTTATCGATTACATGAAAAGTTGGCCAATTAACTCGGTGTGTTGTGTCAGCACCAGGACCTCGATTATTGAACTCAGCATAAAAGAGGTTGTTTATCGGTATCCCTTCCCACAATACCCATCCTTCCGGTTGCACGTTGTCATCCAAAAATGACTCCATGAACACAACAGTTGAATACTGTCTCCATGGCCAATCAAGATACATTTTGACTTCGGCCTTTCTGGAAGCTATTTTCAGAGAAACTGTGACGGTACAGTTTTGAAAGGAGAAGTGACTCTCACAGTTTATCAACCAGGTACAAATGTGTATGGTTTATCAACGATGATTGTTGATAAACATATTAGCACATGTATTGATGATTTTGAAGGTGATCCTATTCCACCAAAGTGACAGTCTCGTTACAACACTTCATGGGATTTAGTGACTCTCACGGTTGAAACGACTAATCTGATTTAGTGACTCTCACGGTTGAAACGACTAATCTCATTACATGTAATCGTGAGGCCTCATGTACCTCTGGATTGTTACTCAAATTCTTACTGAAAATAAAAGTTTGTCCCTTTCCCATTAGGTTATTTTTCTCAATGTTTTGAAGATCAACGTTTTACTCATATCTTATTTTAGTTCTCCAATTTTAGATTGGTTTAGAAATTTACTTAAAATTAATTTTAATTTTGTTATTTTTTTATAAGTCTTCTATTTATAATTAAAATAAATAAAAGAGTAAAAAAGAGATAGAATGACACCCGTTATGCTGCAGTGAAAATGGAAGTAGATTCAAGTAAAGATATTGCATCTCTCAACAAATTTGCAAACAAAAGGATCTGATCAAACTTGAAGCAAGAAATTTCATGTTTCCCAACCTCATCTTCCAACAATTTATTTGGGAAGTCACACTAAAACAATGAAAATGCATGTGTATTTAGT